CCCGCACAAGGCGGGGTCAGGCCCGGTTCTTTTAGCGTCCCCAGAGCCGCGAGGACATTACAACAAAAATAGAATTTTTTTTCTTAATCTCTTAACATACAAAGATAGGAAAACTCTCTGATGCATTGCACTTGGTTCAATGAAAAAAAAAAAAAAAGTTCATTTCCCCCATATATATTTTTTGTGGGTTTTTTCTCTTCTAACACGTCCCCACATCTCCTGTCGCCCTCGTCGCCCCTCGCCTGCCCCTCACAACAACACTTAGGAAAGGAGCGGCCCCCAACCCCCGTGCCCACCCCGGCAGCCCTGCAGGGCGCGCTCCCGCCCCGGCCCAGCTGGCCTGCAGCTTCCGACCTCGCCTGGGCGGGCGCCCCGCAGACCCCCCGCCCCCGAGGACCCACCGCGCCCGCGGCCCCGATTGTCTTCGAGGGAAGGGGCGTGTGCGGCCGGGCAGGGGGGCAGGGGTCCCTTCTGCTCCCCTCTCAGCTCTGACCCTGTTTAGCCAACCAAACTGAAAAATCATTGCACTTTGACCGCGCGTCACGCCCGGCCCACCCGGCCCCCCCACCCCCCGCCCTACTCCCCACGACCCCCAGGCTCCCGCGGATTCCCCTATTCCCCTGCTTCTCAGACCCGGTCCTCCTCGAGGGCTGCACGCGGATGGGGGAGGGGCTTCGCTCAACTTCCAACAAAAGCCACCCCTGGGGCCAGCCACCTCGTGGCTTCCGGCTGGGGAGGAGGCACCACTCAAGCCGGCCCCTTTTGCCCCAGGTAAGAGCTCTCCTCTCCTCTCCAGCCACCTCCCTCCCCTCCTTCCCCCCCTTTGCTTGTGGCCACAGCCTCACAAACTAGATTCACAATAAATAAAGCCCATAACCCACCCCTATGTGGTGCAACGTTGGGTTGATTGACTTTCAGAGGATCCTGACCTGTGCTTTGTGTTTTCATACAGTTAAGAAGGAGAGAGAAAGAGAGAGAGAGAGGCACAAGGACTCCAGAAGGGGGCCAAGATGCAGGGAGGAGGGAGTAAGGCACAGAAAGACAAGCCAGAGGGGCCAAGTCACACCCTGGAGGCGGGCTGGGCGTGCTCTCGCTCCCCTCCCTCCCAGGGGGGGCTTCTGAAGACCCTCTGGACAGGCCCCCAACCATCCCTTGGAGGAGGAGGGGGCTGTGGTGGTGGTGGGGGGGGCTACTTCTTGTGGTGTGTTACCAAATTGTTCCCAAGTTGCTCAAATGGAGGAGTTCCCAACTGCAACAGCAAAAGACCGAAACAATGAATGCCCCACCCCTAAATAAAGAGTAAAGACATTACAGCTGAAATCCAGAGAGAAGTGGCCATGGGGGGTGGTGTGGGGGAAAGGGGAGGCAGAGAAAGCTCCAAAACACTTTTGAAAAAGGACGACACCCAACACCCTCCAAAGGAACTGAAAGTCGGCAAGCAGGACGCCTACCTAGCGCAGGTGGCGGTTTAGCCAACGGCAGCGGCGGCTGCCTCGTCCTCCTCGCTCGACTCCGGGGTCCCCTTTCTGCTCCACTCTCCGGCCCGGCCACAGCAGGGCTGTCTGCGTAGGGGCAGGGGCAGGGACCAATGGGGCGGAGCGAGGGCACCTGCATGCGGGGCTGGGGTGTGGGGGCAACCTGGGGCCCACCTACCCTCACTTGTAGCATGTCAGGACGGTGACCTTCCTGGCCTGCCTTGGGAGAGAGGGAAGAGGGGACCTGTCCCAGGCTGGGATGGGCTGTCTAGAGCATTCCGACCTTTTCCTATGGACTGTACAGAGGGGTTTGGGGCCCGGGGAACTGCCCCTGCAGCTCAGGGTCGGGTGGTAGAACACCCTCCATTCTGGGAGCACAAAACTAGCTCCGGGAGATGCCCCCTGCCCAGCCGGGGCTGGGGGGCTTCTAGCCCGAGGGTGGGGCAGAGGGACATCGAGGCTACCCTGCCTCACCCAGTCCAGAGCAGCTGGGGGAAGAAGCCAGAGGCAAAGGCAGTGAGGGAGGGAGGGGGGTGGAGTCTGGAGGGGAGAGCCCTCTGGATCTGCACCCCATCATCTTTACAAGCTGGTCCTCTGAGCTCCCTAGTGAAGCTCCGGCCCTAGTGGAGGGTGGGGTTCCCCTAGGAAGGGTGAGGGTAGGGGACAGGCCCCTTCAGAATTGTGCTGGTTGCTTTGTTTGGGGATTTTGCTCCTTCCCCAGAAGGCCGGGACGGGATGTGGGGGGAGGAAGGCAGTTCTGCATCCTTTCTTTCTGTCCTCTACTTGACAGAGTCCGTTTTGCATGTTTCTTTCTGCTTGGCTGCTGGTGCACAGCTCCACCGAGACCTCTTCTGAGGCTCTCCGAGAACTGAGCTGCTTCTGGGGCCCTGCAGGGGTCCCCGGGCTGGAGGAGAGAAGGGCTGAGTGGCTGACGACGTCTAATTTTTGCTTTTCGGTGGGGCTGGGCTGGGCTGGGGGATTTTTCCACGTCTCAAAATTTCTTCTCCCCCCTTTTGAGGAACCTCTTCTTTTCATTTTGCCATTTGTTTTGTCGATCTTATCAGAGGAACCAGGACTGAAATGGGACAAAAAAAGAGGCGATATTGAGAATAGCAGGGGCAGGTCCCTTCTTGCTCCTACCTGGTCCTGTGACTCCAGGCTGGTTCCTGAGGCCCCTGGAGGGTCCAGCTCCAGCAGAGCCAAGGACACCAACACCTCATGCAGAGGTACATCCCCACTCTGTCGGTCCCTCCTATGGGGATCCTGACCCCACCCACCCACCCAAGAGACCCTGCCTCCGGTGCTAGAGTCCAGCTGGCCTTCTCGTGGGTACCGTGCCCAGCGGGTGAACCCCCGTGGCTGGCACTGGCACAAGCACAGACCTGGGCTCTGGCCATGTTTCCAATTGTTTAGGTTTTTGTGTGGGTCCTGGAGGGTGGGGGAGGATGCCAGGCTACAGCATTTGTCCCCAGAGGGGTTTGGGGAGCGGCGTGGGGGGTAGCCCAGCTTCTTGCTGAGTTTTCTTTCTGTCTCTTTGGATTAAAAGCAGAAATTCCCATCTGCATAGCTCAGCTAAGGTCCCACAGCCTGGAAGTCTGGGGAGGGGTGGGTACCACATGGCTTCAGTCCCTGGCAGCACCAGGCCTGGGGGAAGGGATCAGTAGCCCAGTGGGCTTGATTTTCTACCCTCCTGGGCGCCACGCCCTGTGGAGGACCTGAGGCTCCCTCGGGTGGGCATCGCTTCCCTCAGGGTGCCAGCAGGGGGCGCCGCCTTCCCACAAACAGGCTCTGGCAGCCACTCAGTACAAAACACACCTAGGGTGGACCCCTGGGAACTGGGCTGCCTGGCAGAAGCCTCCACAAAAGGCTCTGGCCCCACCTCATGGCCAAGGGGCGGGGCAGGGGGTTCTCCTCTATGGTCTACAGTGCCTGGGTATGCCTGGTGGTACCCTCGGGGCAAAATGGTGGTGGGTGGTCCCTGAAAATGCATCTTGGGGCCTCTCCCCGGCTCAGGGTCACAGACTCAGATCTGCAGAGGCCAAGCAGAGCTAACTACAGAGCATGCACCTGGTGCTGACTCATTCTATCCTCACTCCAACCCTGCACAGAAGCCAGGTGAAGAGAGGGTGGCTGAACTGCCCAAGGCCACACAGCCCACAGGGCCAAGCTGGGACTCAAATGCAGGGGGCAGCTCAGACTCAATACTCCTAACTGCTATGTGTGGCGTGTTCACGGGGAGGCAGGGTCTGTGGTGACCAGGACACCCGCACCTTTCCAAGGCTGTGGCCAAGGCTGCCACATCAGGGTGAGGGCCTAGGGTGGCTAGATCAGCCAAATTTTCAAAAGAAGCTTGAGGGGCTTCCCTGGCAGTCCAGTGGTGAACACTCTGAGCTTCCAATGCAGGGGGTGCGGGTTCGATCCCTGGTCGGGGAACTAAGATCCCACATGCCATGTGGTACGGCCAAAAATAAATAATTAATTAATTTAAAAAAAAAAAAAAAAAAAAAAAAAAAGGTGCTAGAGTCCAGCTGGCCTTCTCGTGGGTACCGTGCCCAGCGGGTGAACCCCCGTGGCTGGCACTGGCACAAGCACAGACCTGGGCTCTGGCCATGTTTCCAATTGTTTAGGTTTTTGTGTGGGTCCTGGAGGGTGGGGGAGGATGCCAGGCTACAGCATTTGTCCCCAGAGGGGTTTGGGGAGCGGCGTGGGGGGTAGCCCAGCTTCTTGCTGAGTTTTCTTTCTGTCTCTTTGGATTAAAAGCAGAAATTCCCATCTGCATAGCTCAGCTAAGGTCCCACAGCCTGGAAGTCTGGGGAGGGGTGGGTACCACATGGCTTCAGTCCCTGGCAGCACCAGGCCTGGGGGAAGGGATCAGTAGCCCAGTGGGCTTGATTTTCTACCCTCCTGGGCGCCACGCCCTGTGGAGGACCTGAGGCTCCCTCGGGTGGGCATCGCTTCCCTCAGGGTGCCAGCAGGGGGCGCCGCCTTCCCACAAACAGGCTCTGGCAGCCACTCAGTACAAAACACACCTAGGGTGGACCCCTGGGAACTGGGCTGCCTGGCAGAAGCCTCCACAAAAGGCTCTGGCCCCACCTCATGGCCAAGGGGCGGGGCAGGGGGTTCTCCTCTATGGTCTACAGTGCCTGGGTATGCCTGGTGGTACCCTCGGGGCAAAATGGTGGTGGGTGGTCCCTGAAAATGCATCTTGGGGCCTCTCCCCGGCTCAGGGTCACAGACTCAGATCTGCAGAGGCCAAGCAGAGCTAACTACAGAGCATGCACCTGGTGCTGACTCATTCTATCCTCACTCCAACCCTGCACAGAAGCCAGGTGAAGAGAGGGTGGCTGAACTGCCCAAGGCCACACAGCCCACAGGGCCAAGCTGGGACTCAAATGCAGGGGGCAGCTCAGACTCAATACTCCTAACTGCTATGTGTGGCGTGTTCACGGGGAGGCAGGGTCTGTGGTGACCAGGACACCCGCACCTTTCCAAGGCTGTGGCCAAGGCTGCCACATCAGGGTGAGGGCCTAGGGTGGCTAGATCAGCCAAATTTTCAAAAGAAGCTTGAGGGGCTTCCCTGGCAGTCCAGTGGTGAACACTCTGAGCTTCCAATGCAGGGGGTGCGGGTTCGATCCCTGGTCGGGGAACTAAGATCCCACATGCCATGTGGTACGGCCAAAAATAAATAATTAATTAATTTAAAAAAAAAAAAAAAAAAAAAAAAAAACAA